AGCTTAGCAAAAAACAGAAAAAGAAGGCAAAGATGAAACTCAAACAGGCTCAAGCGGAGGAAATAGCACACTTAGCGGTCAAAGCGAAGAATTTAGTAGATCCCAAGAATTTTGAGGAGTTTGAGGATGATTTGGATAACTTGATGTTCTTGTAACTCTTTTCATTTCATTTTCCTGGCTCATTAGGGGCAGGATATCATGCCTTTATTTTATTTTTAGCGTTGTTGGGCATTGTTTGGGTTTAGTTCACCCTCTCCGTTTGTACTTTGTTTTTAATCTTTAATTTAATAAGATAGAGCGTCCCTGGGCTCTATCACACCCTTAGTGGTGAAGTTTTTCAGGATAATATATATATATATATATATATATATATATATATATATATATATATATATATATATATATATATATATATATATATATATATATATATATATATATATATATATATATATATATATATATATATATATATATATATATATATATCTAAATCGATGACATGTTCGACCGGTTCTCAAAGATCATCAACGATCTTCATGCTCTCAAAAAGACTTACACCAACAAGGATCTTGTGAGGAAAATCCTGCGGAGTCTCACACCCGAATGGAGGTCAAAAGCCGATGCAATCTACGAATCCATCGGAGTCTCCAACGTCACCATCGACGGGCTAAGAGGTAACCTTAAAACCTATGAATCTACTATTCTAACCCCATCTTTGGATGAACAAAAGAAAAAGGGGATAGCTCTCAAAGCCACCAAGGAACCGGTGGAAGAGGCTTCAAGCGATGACGACAATGAATTCGGGCTCGTCATCAAGAAGTTCCACAAGTTCATGAAGAAGGAATTTGAGCGGAAGGGAAGGAGGCACGACGGTCCTCCCAAATGCTACGGCTGCGGCGAGATTGGCCACATCAAGCCAAGGTGTCCAAAGGCCAAACACGGCAAGGACAAGCCTGGCTTCAAGAAGCAAAGGGCCTACATCTCTTGGGGTGGCGATTCTGGCGACGAATCAACCGACCAAGAGGAGGACGAAGCTGCAAATCTCTGCCTCATGGCACACGAAGATCAAAGCGACGACGTCCAAGAGGTATGTA